CAGCAAACAGCAAACAGCAGCAGCAGCAGCAGCAGCAGCAGCAGCCGCCAAGATTCCCTTTCCCTTTTATCCCATTCAGGCTACAAGCCTTTTGGGTGGTACCACCCATGCCCAGGGTGAGGCTTCTCATTACCCACACCCAGAACTATGATAAACCAATTAGTGGACTAATCTGGTACTACACACCCTTAATCGCACTATCACACCCTCAACCCACATTCAGACACCATAGATTCAGCCACCTCCAAAAAGCCCTACCTATGACTGCATGAGGCTTTGGGGGAACATCTAGATACAAGGCAGAATAGTATGGAGCCCTAAGGAGAGGGAGGTATAGGCTGCAGGTAAAGTTCTGAGCCACTATAACCATTCCTAGAGTTCCAATTGGCAAAACTGCAAAAATCTACAACCATTATGCTTACCACCCAAAACACAATTTTCTGAAATGCTCATTCTTGTAACTTTTAAGTACTCCAGGGCTCAAACAAATTACTTGGTTTGGCATCCCTGTTTAGAAGCATTAGTGAGGATTTAAGACTAGACTTTTAACTATGAAGTCCATAATCCAGTATATTATATTGTATTTCCCTCTAAAGGATCTAGAAGAGTAACTGACTGTCATGTATGCTTTTAAAAAAAAAAAACCAGGCCGGGGATTTAGCTAACAACAAAAAAACTAACAACTTACCTTGTATATCCTGTTATGCATATCTCAAACTTTCTATTTTCTGATTCAACCTTAACTATAGTGGTAAAACTGGGAATGTCAATGAAAGGATGAAAAAGATAAAAAAGAATATACACTACTTTGTGACTGATGGAACACTGGGAGCTAAAGGAAGAATCTAAGCAAAGGAGACTTATTACCCAAAAAGGAATGTCAGTGATATAAAATATCAGGTTCTGTTTTACACACATACACACAAATATCAGTGGAAAAAGGAGTAGGAAATGCTCAGTTTAACTGGGGTAAATAGTTGAAAAAGTTAGAAATTCTCAGTTTTAAAGATACAAAGGCATTCTAGGAGTGAACAGAATGAATTGTGTTTAAAGAGAGAGTTTAGCCCGGGGAACATGTGAGTACAGGATCTATGAAATTATCTGGCAGGATTTCTGTTTTTGGAAACAGAATGTGGAAGAAGGAAAAGCTATTAGAATTAGCGTTTTTTTCTTGAAGAAATTAGGGAGGAAAAACAGTGGTTGTCAACTGAACTATGGGAAATATTCACACAGTAGCAGAGGGCGGAGTAAAAAAAGGAGATTATCGACAGGCCTTAGTAAATAATTAAACACAGAATGTGCAAGAGGGAGGAGTCAAAGATGAACATAGTTTGATCCTAGTAACTAAAAGGACAATGAAACCATTAAAAAGGGCAAAGGTATTTTCGAAGATCCATGTTCTAGAGCATGTGGAATATGAGAAAGGATCAATTTTCCTAGAATAAAATGCAAACACCCATCCTAAGAAAAGCATTCAGGCCTTGTTGGTTGGCTGCAAACTACTTTATCAGTATTATTATCTTGTCTCCTCCCTTCCTATCTACCACTGTCAGTTACTACTCTTAAATGAATCCCATTGATAGAAAACCTCTCACTGGTTGAAGCAATAAAACAAACACATCCAAGAATTTATTGAACTGAAATTTTCAGAAGAATTTAGTCCACATTGATTGTAGGGCATCAAACATGTCTACACTAAACCATCTTTGGATCTGCTTTTTTCCATGGTGTCTTCTATCTCATTAGTCCTGGAAGGAAAGAAACTCCAGGCTTCTCTCTAGATGTAAGTCCCCTGGAAAAGACCTAACACCTTCGAAACTAAGGCAGAGTTCAACTTTCAAATATGCTTTCTTCCTGGTGTACCGCCCAGATCTTATGGAGTGAGGGGAGAAGGGTTAGTTCTATGGGAGCATATTCAGAATGAACAGCAATGTCTACCAATGTCTACCAAAATCCCTTCCACCATGCAGTGGAGTAATTGACAAACCATGCTTTCCCGTTCCCCATGGAAGAAAAGATATCAGATGAAGCCAACTACTTGGGAGGCTGAAACAGAATTACAAGTTCAAGGCCAGCCTGGGCAACTTAGTGTGGGAGCCTGTCTCAAAATTAAAAAGGAAAAGGATAGAAGGGAATGGGATTAATATGAGAAAATGGAAAAATAGGAACAAAATCTTTGTAAATAGGGAGGAATGGAGGAGTTGAAGAGAGGGCTGGACAAGGGTGAAAAATAAGAACCAAGAGAGACTATGTAAAGGTGCAGATTTCCAATGATGAATGTCATTATATTGTATACCTAAAATGTACCAATGATTAGAATGAATAATTGATAATGCAAAATAGGAAGAAAAGGTCCAAGGGGTAGGGGTAGTGGAAGAGGCAGGGGAAAGGAAAGAAGGGAAAGGAAAAATGCTGAGAAATGGAAAAAATGGAAATAAAGTCTTTGTAAATAGGGAAGGGTGGAGGGGGTGAAGGGAGGGCTGGGAATGGGGAAAAAATAAGAACCAAGATGCATTATGTAAAGGTACAATTCCCAATGAGAAATGTAATTGTGTTGTATACCTAAAATGTACCAATAAAAGAATTTAACAACAACAACAACAACAAAAAAAATTAAAAAGGAGGGAGGGAAATGTAGGTGAGTGATACAGTGCATGCCAGCAAGCCCAAGGCCAAACAAAACACTTCACATGAAGGATCGGGATCTGATTTAAGTCCATCAATTTTAATTTTAGTTTTATTTTGAGTCAGGGTCTATGTCCTGGCCAGGAACTTGCTATCCTCCTGTCTGAATCTCTGAAATTTGTGTTGGGATTACAGGTGTTAACTACTAAACCTGGCGAGCTCCTCAATTTTGATGTCTTCTCTGAGAATACAGTAAGAATTTGAAATAGTTACTGGGATTAATGTTATCTTGGAGGATTTTACAGCCCAAAACCAGAAAAGCGCTATTTTTTTTAAAAACAAGATGCTTTTTACTTCAAGTCTAGATTCCTTAAAGCAAAAATTACTAAGAATAGAATCCTTTTTCAGTAATTTAGAAGCACATGACACGTGCTTTCCCACAGGGTCCAAGTGTGGGTAGCAAGGGAACCCCCGGCCAAGTTAGAAGTATTTACATGTCCCAACCAAGGGAACAGTGCAAATTAGGGCCCTACTTCATCCCCGTTGCCTCACCTCCCACCATCCATAATAATATGATTTGGGTTTTAATAAAAAGCCAGAGGTAAAACTACAAGTGAACAAATACTGTACATCTTGATTTTCCGTCTTCCCCTCCCAGCCCAGGGCGCCTGCTTGATCCCCAGGCCCAGCCACCTGTAAAGAAGCTACCCCAGCGGCGATCCTGCCGGGAGCTGGGGAAGGGGTGTTCCCGGCGTTCAGGGACTTTCCCAACCTCCAGGGAGGAAGCCGAGTGTTGGGGACGTTTCCAACCAACTCTGACAAAGTGTAACTGCCGTCGGCAAAGTGTTTCGCTTTTCGAGGGAGCGAGTACTCCCTTTCTGGCCTCTAAATGCAGGAAGGGAGCTCTTCTCCTCCTCGCTCCCGGAATCCGCCGTAAAACCAAAGCCACTCCAACCTACCGCGCCTCCACCCCGCCAGGCCCCGCTTTCCCGATTTCCAGTAACCGGCGCCCTCCAAGCCGGCAGGGAAAGGGGTCTCATAGCTCCGAATTTCCCTGAGCGGCCGCAGAGTCCACCCGAGGGCCCGGACTCTTCCGCGCCGCTCCGCGGTGGCCCACGGAGAAAATCGCATGCGCACGGAGCCGCGGCGCGGAGGGCGAGCGCGAGGGGAGGAGCGAGCGCCGAGCGCAGGAGCCGGGGTCACTGACGACGCATGCGCCGGGAAGGAGCGCAATCACGGACTTGACCGCGGCTACCCGCTTAAAAAAGGAAACCCCGGACGGCGAGGGCGCGAAGGAAATCTGGCTGCCGCCGCGTGCGCGCTCCCGGTGAGTGCGCCCCACCGGGTGGGCCGGGGCCTGACGTCTACCGGTTGGCTTGCCTTGGCGGCGCATGCGTGCTCCCAGTGCCGGTGGAGGAGGGGAAGGGAAGGGAGGGGGAAGAGGAGGGCGGCAGTAGCGGTGAATTTGGGGGCAGGGTGGGGGGGCGTCACTCGCAGCCCCAGGTGCTGCTGGCGCTGGGAACCGCTTTGTCTCCGGGACGCAGCCGGTTAGTGGTTTCGAGGCGCCGAGGACAGTCCTGGGTGGTGAGGGAAGAAGCAGGACCCGCCGCAAGCCACACGGTGAGGGCGCGGGCCAGGGGAGGGAGCAGGGGGCGGTGTGTGGGGCCCGGGGGGGGGGCGGCCAAGGCAGGGGAGGCGGGTGCAGAAGCCCAAGTTTTGCTTCCCGCTGTAGCGTAGCTTTTCCCGGGAGTTGGGGCGAGGCCCGCCCGGGCTGAGGGGCTGTCGAGGGCAGTTGGGGTTACCTGCGGGGCAGGGGCGGGATTGGGGTGCGCGGCAAGGCAGGGGGCCAGAGGGCGCCCAGGCTGCAGCCGATTCCAGCGTCTGGGCGGCGAGCAAAGCCAGAACCGATGCCTACAGGGCTTTCGCCCGGGACCCGCTAGGCCTGTGACCCACTTTATTCCTGTCACCGTTCGGGCACGTTTGGAGCGGCGCCCAATGGGGCGCTGGGGCGGCCAGCTTCTCCGGGGAACCCCCGCCCTCCCGGCGCACGGCCCGCGCGCCATGGTGCGCAGTCCGAGCGGCTGCCGCCGCCGCCCGTGGGCTGGTTCCGTTAGTGGTCGTGGTTCCGGGACTTGTCTTCGGGGAACGCGCGGCTCGGGGCGCGGCGCCGGGCTTCGCTGCTTCCCTGGACCGGCGCCTGGCGCTCCTGGCGCTCGGGTCGCCGGGGCGGCTGGCGGTCTAGGTCCCTTTCCGCCTGCGGAGTTGGCCTCTCCCGAGATGGTCCTGGCGCTCCGGCGGTGTGTGCCATTTCCAGCGCGCAGCGTTGCAGAATCCCTGTTCTTTAGGGTGTTCTTCCCTGGTGTCGAAGCCGTCCTGTTAAAAGTAGTCAGGAGAATCTTTAAAGAGAAAGAGGTCTTGGCCTCTGACCTGGCAAATGACAGATCAACTAGTGCGCGGTTTCCTACTATTAGAATGCCATTCTGTGATTTAAGGCTTTCTAGCCTTCTCAAAAAACAAAAGCAGTGTTTTCTTTTACAGCCAAAGAAAAGCACAAGAAATAAAGAAACTTTTGCACTCATTGTTAATTCGGCTAATGTGCTGATCCCCGAAATCAAAGTAAAGGTAATTATGTTCGTAGATTCCGTTCTGATTTGTAGTTTAAAGTGATCAGAGCAAAAATTGTGTAATATTTCTCTTCCCCTACATATTTGAAAATAAAGTCTTAAAAGGATGTCTGAAAGATATTCCTTAGGACATCTCAAATCAAATTTGTTTTATAATCTTGTCGGAGGAAGAAAACTATTGTGTGAAGTAGTTGACTGAACAGATTGACATTAAAGGTTGGTTAGTCTGAAGAAGGTAGACTGAAAATGTGGTACAACTAGTCGTGATCAGTGATGAAAAAAGAATGAGGAAGCTTACTGTGTACTGACATGAAATGATCTCAAAAATCTGTCAAAGTGAAAAAAGCAAGGTGTAGAACAGCATGAATAGTGTTTTCTGTGTCGGGGTAACTACAGGGTTAAACTTGTTTCCTCTGCTTTGTGTAAAGATCCTGGGAGAATGATTACTGGAAAACTGATTTTTATAATATGTTCACTATTTTTCAGAAACTATTTTTACAATAAGGTCAAATATTAAGACAAAATTTTCCCTCTTTTTTAGAGAATTTACATTTAATCAGGTGCTTACCTTTTTAATTCTCATCATAGTGAAAAAAAGTATAGGTTGATTTACGTTCAAAATTTTGTGTACTAAAAGTTTGTATTAAAATATGATTTTATGTAAATAGTTAACTTTTTTCTTAATCTCTTCCCCTCAGTTATAAAAATGGCACATCCCACTGTAGAAAACTTACGAAACACTAAAAAAGTACAAATTAAATTTTAAAAATATTGGAAGCCCTACCACTGAGAGTACTCAATTTTAGTCTCCTGGAATATCTTTTTCCTTTCTCATCAGCCATTAGTGTATATTAAATGTATGTGCACTAACAGACATATAGGCTTAGAATGGATCTACTATAGTGCAAATTGTTCTACTTATTTAACAGTGAATCAGCATATTTTCATGTCACTATTTCTCTTCAACATTATTATTTTTAATAATTATGTAGTATTTTTCTGCGTTTTTGTAATAATTTATTTACCAGTGTTTCTTGGATACAAGTTTTCAATTTGTAAACTAGTACAAAATCAGGTAGATACTTAAAAAATTTCAATAGGATAGTCTTTGGAAGAATTAAAATTCAAATAGAATGATACTGAATTTCTATGGATAACATGATTAAACAGAAACTTTGTGCTTTTTGTTGAAAAAAATGCCATAAGTATGTAATAAGTTATCTAAGAATGATCCCTAATGATGAACTGAATTCAGAATTTTTTGTGATGATATATTTTACTTCTAAAGTATGTTTTGTTCGAATTGAATTAAACTAACTTTTCATTTCATAAGCATAAATCATTTGAGTAGCATGGCAGTCTGTGACATAATCTGAACACAATTAAAATTTGAGCTCTAACATTTCTTACAATGGCCTAAGTTCAAAGGAACTTTTTTAAAAGAATTTTTTAAATTGCTTGAGAAGCACTTCCTTAAATGGAAAGCCTAAATACCAACAAATAATCCTTTACCATCCAGGGGATTGTCATTAGCATTATGTGTTTCTGTGACGTTTCATTCAACTCCAGGGTATATAATATTAACGTGTGCTACATCTTCAAGTTTAAATTGGGAGAAAAAAAAACATTTTCAAGAGAAAGTACATAGGGTCTTAAAGTTTGATACAGTAATGTTAATGCATTGTCTATTCTTGGAAATTAAACACTTTGTCATTTTTAATAGTGACTTCCTTTTTAAAGCTTTATCAGGAAACTGGAAAATTTTTAGATGCTCACTGTTTTCTCTATTCTCAGTGACACTAACTACTTGTTAATCTGTTTTATTCTGAGTTGAGCTTCTTCTTACTTATTATCTGAAAATTAGTAGCAAAGAACAAACTAATAAGACCTTATGCTTACTTATATTTATAGCATGGTGTAGTGATTAAGAACACAGTGTTCTATAGCTAATCTGCTTGGTGTTCAAATCTTGGCCATATGTGGCTGTGTGACCTTATAAAAATTTTGTGTCTTTGATACTTCAGTTTCTCATCTGTAAAGTGAGGATAGAACAAACGATGTGGCTCAGTAGCTGCATGCACAAGAACCTGGTTTTAATGCCCAGCACAGATTCCTGAGGTGATGAATGATAATTATTCAAACAAATGTTTCTCATATAATTAAATGTTCAATGAATGCTAATGATTATTCCTATTGTTTTGGTAGTGTGTAGTCTAAGTAAGTTGCTTAGAGTTATATATTTGCACTGTGTAGCCCAGGCTGGCCTCAGACTCATGGTGATGCTCCTGCCTCAGCCTCTGGAATGCTGGAATTACAGGCAGGGGATATTGTGTATCTTTTTAAAACTTTTGCTGCCTGAAGTTTTTATTCACAAGACTGATATTCTTCTATGTTTAAAATTTAAATTGAAATAATATTAAAAGTCATTTAGGAAAAACACTTTCCAGGGTTTTCAAAAGGTTAGGACTTAAAATTTGTTTTGGGTGTGGTGGCACACACCTGTAATCCCAGCTCTCCAGAGGCTGAGGCAGGAGGATTGGTGTAAATTGAAGGCTAGCCTGGGCTACATAGTTAAAGGCCAGCCTGAATTACATAGTGAGACTCTGTCTCAAAAAAAAAAAAAATTGTTTTGCAACTTAAATAGTTCACTAGAAATTTCACAGATTTTTATTAGCACCAAGAAGAGAAGTCAAAGAAATTTTAGTGCTATAGTTTGAATCTTAAGTGCCCTCAGAGGTCCTTGTAGTATGTAGGCTTGCTGTCCTCAGGATGGTGCCCTTGGTGGTGCAGTCTGTAGGAGGCAGGGCCTAGTGGGAGGGCTTAGGTTGTTTGGGGGCTTGCCCTTGAAGGAGGTAACAGGAGAGAAGAGTTGTTTTCTGCCACATGTTCCCAACCATTGCCACCTGGCACCTCCATCCAAGCCTAAAAGCAATGAATTTTCTTGTGTGGAGTGGAACCTCTCAAATTGTGAGGCAAAATAACCTTTTTCTCTTTATAAGTTGATTGTCTCAACTATGTATTTGTTACAGTGACAGAAAGCTGGTGAAATTAGTGAAAAAAATACTTGGCTGAAAACTTGTATTTTTCAGAAAAGATGATGTAATTATGAAGGTGTCTTCCTTTCACCAATGTTTATTGTGTGAAGTAATTTAATATTACATATGTTTCTGAGTCTGTTACTTTGTTGGAGTTGATCATTAGGAAAATTTATAATACTGATCTTTTTCTTTTGGAAAAGGTTTTGTAGTTTTTGTAAAAGTGAGTTATGCAATTTAGAAAAAAGATAAAGTACCAAAAACTATTTTAAAAATCTGTGATGAAAAAAAAAATCACCTAAAGACTCAAGGGTAAGCTGCTATTTTAATTTTTTTTAAGGATTTTCTAAGGAGTGTGTGTGTGTGTGCGCGTATGTGTTTAAATATTAGCATTTTATAACAAGTGGAGTTTGTATAGATTTGTAAAAGTTTTCTTATTTCCTGAGTGCTGGTGAATAAACACATTTTTATTATTTTTATCTAGTTTTACTGTAGTTCATTTGCCTTTTTGCTAGTAATAGTTGAGTTTGTAACTACCACCAACTTTAAGATCATTATATATTGTCTCTTGAAAATTGTTTTTCTTTTTGGTTCATCTGCTTTTTATCTTCTTTTTAATACTGTAATTAATAGTGTCGTATAAATTAAGTTTTAATAGTTTAAGATACGTTAATACTTCTGCCATTCCCCAATAATCCCAGTTCCTTACGTACTTTAATTCCGTGTACAGTTTTTTTGTATTATTATCGTTTTGTGTTTTACTTACACATATATTCCCACAGACATTACTAGTATGGTTTTGAACAATGTTTATTCATAGTTACCTTTCCAGGGCTCTGGATATTTTCAGTTATAAACTTCTAAGTTGGTAGTTACTTTTTTAAAAAACGTTTAAAAACTTTTTTCCTTTCTTTTTTCCTTTCCTTTCATTGCTTTCTTCCTTTGTTTCTGTTAAAGTTAGCTATCAGTCTTTTTGAAAATAATGTGTCAGCTAAATGCTGCAGAAAAAAAGTATTTTTCTTTGGCTACTTTTAAGACTGCCTTAGTTCTGTAGCTAAAACAGACTCTTAGTTTTATGACTATTTTGTGTAAAGGTGTGGTTTTAGATATATTAGTTTATGTTCATACAGTTTTTTAAATCTAGCTTTTGGTGCCTTGTCGTTTTGGACAGTTCTCTTTCATTACCTCTTCAAGTATTCTCTGTCATTACCCCTTCTTCTTTTAGGATTTTAATTAAATGTAATATCTAATTATAATGTTATATACGTATGAAAAAATTTTTTCTCTAAATTTCTGTTTGGATGGATATCTTCTATTTGCCTATCTTCTAAGACACCAACATGTCTCTTTAGTTCAAACCAATCTGTTGTGTTCTTAATTTTACATTGTAATTTTGAATTGTAGAAGTTCATTTGATGCTATTTTATAGTTTTGTTGTTGATCCCCCCAACATTGGGATTAAACCCAGGGCCTTGGCACAGAGGGGGCCCCCTGCCTTGTTGTTTTTTTTTTTTTGAGACAGGGTCTTGCTAAGTGATAAAGTTGCCCAGGCTGGGCTTGAACTCAAAATCCTCCTGTCTTAGTCTCCTAGAATGCTGGCATTATTATTTTATAGATTTTAATAGATTCTAATTTTCTTGGACATAGTTATTTAAATGCTTATTAATTCCAATATCTGCATCTTGAATTAGTCTGTTTATATTGTTTTTCTATTTGTTATTGATCATGGGGTGGTATGTTTCTGTCTCTTCACATATCTGCCAAGTTTTTCAAAGAACTTGTCCATTTCATTGAAGATATTGAATATACTGGAATAAAGCTGTTTTTAATAGTCTGCTATCTTTTTAATACCTATGGAAAATACTGTATAGTGAGTCTAATATTTGTATAACTTGTCCAGATTTAATACTGTTCCCGATACTGGTAATTTTGGTTTTCTTTTTCCTTTAGCAGTCTAGCTAGA